TTGCTGACCTTCGTGCTCCTGAGTGGTAGGCAAACTTAAACTTTTCCTTAAACCAGTTTATTATATACAGGAGAGTGGAAAGCTGTGCTCTTTTTCAGAGGAGATGCAAAGGGCAAGAAAGTCTGACAGCTTGTCTGATGAAATGTAGGAATCGACTGACTGCCCTGATCTCTGCGCCTGAGTCATCGTAATTGAGAACACTCAGTTCTGCCAATACCTCAGGACTTACAGAAATTCCAGTGGTACTTGTTATAAAAACAGGGTTTTCAGCATGGTGGAAATGGAAGCCAACAAGCTATAGGGTTAACCTTGCCCATGCCTTGTTGCTCTTCCCTTTCCTAATCATTTTCCATTTTGAATGCATCATGAGAAGGGCCTCCACTTCATTTCTGCCTCTTAGGCACACATAAGTAATCCAAGGGGAAGGATCTGTAAGAAACATCGAGTTGTGCCTAAACAAAAAAGTACAGGAGGTACTTTATTTAGCAAGTGGTAGGACTTTCTCTCCTTGATCTCCTCTAAACACCTGCTGTTGCAGTGGCATCAGTTTCCTGTTGGATTCTGTTAAAAGAGCAAGCTTTGGTAGAGTAAGGGAACGCCTAGAACAAACGAAGGGGTAGTTGATGTAAAAATAACATGGCCAGTAACAAAGTCTTGATGTGTATATTCTCACAGCGTAAAAGGACAAACTTTGGGGTTTATGCGCCTAAAAGGTCATGGCCATGTAATGTTGTAGGCTCCTTACTGCTTTTTTTGCTGCTGTGTGAGCCAAAAGGAGGGGTTATGTGCACATTTCCCATCTACATCAGTGCCAAATCCAGCGATCTAGCAGCTCACCCTCACGCACAGATATTGAACTGATGGAGTTTTCTCTAACGGGGAGGTTAAAGCCCTTGTGTGTGTTGTGCTGCCTGGAGGGGTGTGACCCTCCAACCGCCAGCAACAAACGGTTGAGGGCACTATGTCAAACAGCTGCTGGTATCAGGGGTCCCATATGTCTGATGTAAAATGCTGCAGTAAGAAACTTTGTATAAAGCAGCAAATTGGCAACTCGGCAGATGCAACCTCCAAATGTTTGTTCCAGTGTGGAAAACAAACGCTTAAAGATGCTCTTATTAACAGGTTTTGTCTAGAAGTGTTATGTGCTGTTAAACTTTGTGTTATGTGGTGGCAGAACTGAAAAAAACTTGATGAATTTTTGTGTTACTATTTTTCATATGGGTATACACTAAAGAGTAGAAGACGTTAGTGGTAGTACTTGTGAAAACGTTAGTGCTCTGAGGTGAAGGTACTGCGGTGCTGTGAGCAGCAGCGGCATTTTTTACAAACCAGATGCACGTTTGGAAAGAAACAGTGGTGTAGTCCTTGTAATTTGTCTTTTAATGTGGGGGTTTTTTGTGTTTTTTTTTTTTCTTCAATTATAGATGCTGCTGAGTGAAAAAGCTGAGGCTTTGCAAGAAGAAGTTGAAGAACTCTTAAAGGTGCCTACAGATATCCCAGGGGCCTGCTGACCATGAAAAAGAAATCAAAAAAATTGGATATTTTTAAAATTTTTAACTTTGCTGTGTAAAACTGCTGTAATTACAATAAATATTTAATGCCTTTTGTATACCTCGATTTTTGTGTGAGTTCTGAGTTCAGAATGTTTCTTGGGAAGTTGACTTAACTTGGAGATGTTGATTATGAACCTCTTGAGCAATAGGCTCGAATCAAAAGATGTGATCTTAATTCATTCCTGTCTGTGTTCAGCCATAGCCCAGGGAGCTTTGGGGACTGGATTAACTGCCCAATGGGTACTTCTGAGGGCTTAGGGTCACAGCTGACTCGAATCATGTCTTTACACTGCATATTCCCTTTAGGATGAGTGAGCTACTCCAAAGTTCCTACTTGCAGGAATCTCTGTGCTCTTGGTGTAGCTAATGGAAGGAGAGAAAATAGACCAGCAATTCCTAATGAAAGCTGTCCCAGAGTTGTGTAAGAAATTATAAACGATGTCTTGTTGAAGCCTCGTTAAAATTATGCAAATATCAAATTCGTGTTCAGCCTCTGGCAATTCCCCAAGAGAGAATTCTTTCAGGATGATTCTGTTAGCAGTCTTCCAAACCAAAGGTTTACATTTTTCTAACGTTTTTTAAAATTTCTTCCTTAAACGTGAAGACTGATGAAGTTGAGGACTTGAAGAACTAATTTTTGTCAAGCCGTGTCAAGTTCTGAGACTCCGGGGGCATCTGTTGGCCGCTGGTTAAGATATTTAAAGGTATCTGAACCAGATTTGCTCCAGCAAAAAGTTAGGCTTTGTGAAAGTACTTTTGAAGTTGCCTAAAACGTCTTCATTTCTGACACAGCGAGCTGTTCAAAGGCAGAATGTAGTCCGTGGCAGGGTTAGAGCACTGCACGCCAAGCCTGGAGACTCTGACAGGCTGCTGGGTTAAACCATGGCAGGCAGTACACTGGCACACTGAAATAGGGCCTTTCTGTGTAACATAGTGTATATACAGGTATGCATTTACAGCTGTAAAATAGGGTGTCCCTCCTCAGTAAAGGAAAAGTAAGATAAGCCTCAGTTAAAACTGTGGGTTTTATTCAACCTCGGTTAATTGTGTTGGGATTCTAGACATAAACAGGAATGTTTTTAAAGCCAGGGGGGTTGTTAGAGGTTGAACACTTGACTGGGAGAGGTAGTGGTGAAAAACTGATGACAAGGCCAGTATTGTACTGCTCACTTTATTGCATCAGAGAAATCATAGGTAGCAATTGAATAAATTCTTTATAGGCCTTCACTTAGCAGAAACGTGCCTCTAAGACCACAAAGTTTGGGTAAGGGAGACAGTTGAGTGCATCCAGTAGTAAACCAGGTCAAGATTTTTAAAATAGCACTTTTCAGAGGCAGCATGATTCATTTCCACTGCTGGATTCAGTTCTGCGGGGGAGCCCCGTTACTGTACTGAAGCGCCTAAGGCACACACGTTTCTGGAAACATGAAAACCCGTGAAGTTGGCTCTAACAAGAAGGTGTAATTTGCCCTTGAGTGCAGAAGCAATATTTGCTGGGTTGTGTAAGTGTCTCTTAATGCCTTGCCCTTTTAATTGAGAAAGACTTTTTTCTTTTTTGACCAAATGATAGATAATAGGAAATTCTCTGCTGATTTATTTGTGGTGTTTTCAAAAGACAGATGCTGCTCATCCTAGCAGAAATGTGAGTACATATGTAAGTGGTTGATGTAACAGGTGTGTAGGAAAATTTTAGTGATGCCTGTAAGCTGCTCTCAAGGTTAATTCATGCTGGACAGTGTTCCTCCAAAGTTTGAAACAGTCATGCATGGATTTTTTTTGGGAAAAGGGAGCAAATTGCTGTAAAATTATTCACTCTGATAATCAAGTTTTTCTAATAACTGATGTTATGGAAATAATTGATTAATTGCTAGATTAAGTACAGAAGTAGTTAATGAGCCATTAACCGCTGTCACAATAATTTCCACAATGCTTGTACGCTGATTTTTAAAAAGTGTATGTTTATATTTTTATATTGCGGAGGGAAGCAGCAGGAAAAAAAATAATTTCTGGCAGCTGTTGTTGGGTCCCTCACTGCCCATCCTCAGGCTTGTGCATTGCCGTAGCAGCCAGCACTGTTGCAAGGCCGGGTTTTGAGGAGCTGTGTGCCAGGTATTCCCCACAAACACCCTTTGAACACAGCAGCAAAAGCTGGTTCGAAACAAGCAGATGTTGTCAGGTCTGTGTGAAGCTGGTTTGGAAAGCAAAAGGAGTTGACATTTGTTGTTTCTGCTGCTGTGTTTATACAGGCTGTGCTTTGCCAGATGGATGAGTGCAGCTCCCCCAGGGCTTTATCTGTGACCTTTGATAAGATTAGAAATGAAATTAAAGAAACTGCAGTGATTTGCACTGAAACTTTGCTATATGTAGCTTGTCTTATTTTTCTGAAATCCCAGCTTACCAGGCAAGGAAGTATACATCTTTGCTTTTTCAAAAGAGTGTCTAATAATTAATTATAAGACACAGTGTGTATTAATGTATGATTAAATGGTTTTCACAGAAAGCTTTCTTACCTGGGCTTTTCCCCTGGGTGGAGACAAGAGAGGGGGGGGTGTGGAATAATATACAACAGATGCTGCTTGCAGTATTTTTATGCTTCTGGATGGTGTTGAGGTGCCTGTGGGAGGGGATGAAAGGGCTCAAAGGGGTGGATTTCTGACGGTTATTAAGACTAAACTGTGGTGGGTGGAAGTTTTGCTTGTGCCTTGCTCCGCTGGTTTCACAGCTTTGCTTGTGTTTCGCCCCGTTTGTCTCTCGAGGCCTCCTGACTCCTCAGCTGGTTCCTGAGGCCCCTCGGTCTGTCCAGGTGAGACCGAAACGCTTCCTCAGGCTCCCGAGGGAAATCCCTGGGCAAGGACTCGAGGCCTTCAGCGGGCGCTGGGGCAGCTTGCTGGCGTACGAAGGAGGCACCTGGACTCCACTGCCCGGCAGCTCCGCAGGGAGGTCGGCTAGCGAACGCCGTGAGGAAGACTGCTTACTGCTCCCCTCCGCCACCAACGGCCCTCACCCTGTTCCACTGCATGTGCTGGGATGGTGTAAATCAACTCCAGGAGCCCCTTATCCTGAGACGCCCCTCTGCAGGGAGCCTGAGGCAGATGGATGATTTGTGTGCGTGTGAAGTGGTGTCCCTTGCTAGTGCAGGGGAGCCCGGCTGGTGGAGAATCCCCAGCACTGCTAATGAAGAATTCCTGCTCGACAGGAAAGAAAACTTCACTATTGAGTCCATTTTGTTTCA